ACTCAAAAGATTTAAGTGAAGTGCAATGAGCATTCTATAAATCAACCAAGGACTATCTCATACCAGCATGGTGCATAAAAGAAAAATAAAAACCTAATTGCAAAAGACGCTCCAAGACTTGCACATAATGCATGAACGAAACGAATTCGAAAACATACCGATACTTGTTGAAGAAAGAGGGGATGCCTCCCCAGCATCCCCAAGCTTAGACGCTTGAGTCTCCTTGAATATTTACTTGGGGTGCCTCGGGCATCCCCAAGCTTGAGCTCTTGCCTCTCTTCCTGCTTCTCACATCGAAACATCCTCGATTAGACACTACATCCACAGAAAACTTCAACAGAAAACTCGGTAAGATCCGTTAGTATAATAAAGCAAATCACCACTCAGTACTGTTGCAAACCAATTCATATTTTGTTTTTGCATTGTGTCTACTGTAATATAACTTTTTCATGACTTAATCCACTGATATAAATTGATAGATTCATCAAAACAAGCAAACTATGCATCAAAAACAGAATCTGTCAAAAACAGAACAGTCTGTAGCATTCTGAACAGTCACAATACTTCTGGTACCCCAACAATTCTACCAAAATTAGGAAACATAAATAAGTTCTATAGAAAGACAGTGCAAAAGGAATCAGAACCAATTGACATTCCAGTTAAAAATGTAAAATCGCGCACTACAGCCAAAGTTTCTGTCCTGCACCGTACAAACCAACAAGCATAGTAAACATCCTAAAGGCAAACCTTGGCACATTATTTTTATAATACAATAGAATTGTACAAGGGGATAATTATTTTTGTTGAAAAGTTTCTATAATCAAGATTCACAAAGTTTCCGTGAGCATGAACAAAGTTCAAGGAGCTTTCCCACTTCAACAATGCTTGTCTTTCTTAATTTCACTTTCCTTTTTGAAAAGTTTTTAGGTTCCCCTCCTTATTTTTGTTGTTTTTAAACTATATGGAAGCACTCAACAGAAATAAATGACTCTCTAAAACTTCCGGGTTGTCTCCCTGGCATCGCTTTCTTTAAAGTCATTAAGCTAGGCATATAGTGCTCAAGTAGTGAATCCACCCGCATCCCAAGGTATATCAAAGCCAATTTTAATTAACAATGATTTGTAATTTAGCAGTGAGCACAAAGTAACATAAATCAAGCAACAACAAAGTCTAACTCTCTTCCTATGCATCGGCATGTCATAAAAGAACAGTTCATACACACCAAGTAAAGGCTAATACATAGTATAAGCAGTTTCTTGCAATTCTATCGTGTTGGAAACATAGAGAGGTGGAGATATTGTTCCTCTCTCATAATAATTGCAAGTAGGAGCAGTAAGCACATGCATATTATATCCATCAAAATCATCATGTGCAATGGTAAAAGGCAACCCATCAATATAATCCTTAATAAGTGCAAGCTTCTCCGATATAGTATAGTCGGGAGAATTCAAAAAGATAATAGGACTAGCATGCGTGGGTGCAATAGCAACAATTTCATGTTTAACATAAGGAACTATAGCAAGTTCATCTCCATACACATAATTCATATTGGCATCTTGGCCACAAGCATCATCAAAAAGGGATATTTCAAGAGAATTAATGGGATCATAACAATCATCATAGCAATCATCCATCGGTAAGCACGAAGGGGAATTAAATAATATATGAGTTGGAGGGTTACTCTCATTAGAAGGTGGGCACGGGTAGCTAATCCTCTCTTCCTCCTTTTGTTCTTCGCTCTCCTCATCATCTTTTTCATCCAATGAGCTCACAGTTTCATCAATTTCTTCTTCCATAGCTTCCTGCAAAATATTAGTCTCTTCTTGGACAGCGGAGGCTTTCTTAATAAATAGTTTAACATAGGCATTAGAAGCATAATTCTCATAACAATACTCAAGTATGGCAAAATTTTCAGATTTGTAAAGAGTAGTATCATACTTTACAATCAACATAGCAATTTCAAAAGCACCCTCAAAAGCAACAAATTCTTCAATCTGTTGAACATCATAGTAACTATAAACACCCTTAGCATAAGAAGATAAGATTCCATTATCAATAAACTCACATTGGTAGGGAAGGTGTTTTTTAGGGTTTTCAGAACAACAAGTAAAATCATATTCCCAACATAAATTCCAAGCATAGCATTGCAAACGTTGAATTTGACTCCATAATAGTTTCCCTTTTTCAGATATACGGTGTCACACATAACAAGCATGCTCATCTAAAGATTTGCCCTCAACTAAGCTAGTTGGGGTTTCAGCACGAGCACATAGGGATCAAAGATGATCCAAGTAATAAGCTTCAGCAGTGTGATAGATTTTGAGTGGTTCTTCAACCATTGGTTCAGCAGGTACAACTGATTTTTTTGGTATTTTGCGTTTCCTACCCATAACTAAAGATAAAGAACAACTTAGAACAGCAAATAAAAATTACTTAGTGATAAAGCAAACAAGCACACAGGAGAATATTCACCCCACGCTATTGCTCCCTGGCAACGGCGCCAGAAAAAGGTCTTGATAACCACAAGTGTAGGGGATCGCAATAGTTTTCGATAAATAAGAGTGTCGAACCCAACGAGGAGCTAAAGGTAGAATAAATATTCCCTCAAGTTCTATCGACCACCGATACAACTCTACGCACGCTTGACGTTCACTTTACCTAGAACAAGTATGAAACTAGAAGTACTTTGTAGGTGTGAAAGGATAGGTTTGCAAGATAATAAAGAGCACGTAAATAAAGACTAGGGGTTGTTTAGATAAAGACACAACTAAATTAGTAAAAGTAAAGAACTTGTTGTCACGAGAAAGTTATTTGTCCCTAGTCAATCGATAACTAGACCTGTAATCATTATTGCAATTTTATTTGAGGGAGAGGCATAAGCTAACATACTTTCTCTACTTGGATCATATGCACTTATGATTGGAACTCTAGCAAGCATCCGCAACTACTAAAGATTCATTAAGGTAAAACCCAACCATAGCATTAAAGCATCAAGTATCCTTTTATCCCTTACGCAACAATCCCTCTTACTCGGGTTTGTGTTTCAGTCACTCACCAACCCACTATAAGCGAATCATGAACGTATTGCAACATCCTACAACGGGAATCCCTCACGCTTGCGTGACACGGAGGGCACCATAGGACATCACCAATAATAAAACATACAACTCAAACCAATCATGATCATCAAATAGCCATTAGGACAAAATAGATCTACTCAAACATCATAGGATGGCAACACATCATTGGATAATAATATGAAGCATAAAGCACCATGTTCAAGTAGAGGGTACAGCGGGATGCGGGAGAGTGGACCGCTGGATATAGAAGGGGGAAGGTGATGGAGATGTTGGTGAAGATGACGGTGGTGTTGGTGAAGATCGCGGTGATGATGATGGCCCCCGGCGGCGTTCCGGCGCCACCGGAAGCAAGGGGGAGAGAGCCCCCCTTCTTCTTCTTCTTCCTTGACCTTCTCCGTAGATGGGAGAAGGGTTTCCCCTCTGGTCCCTGGCTCTCATGGCGTGGGAAGGGCGAGAGCCCCTCCGAGATTGGATCTATCTCTCTGTTTCTGCATTCCCTGATTCTACCCCTTCACCGTTTCTTTTATATCCGGAGATCCGTAACTCTGATTGTGGTGTATCTTTCGCTCAGATCTTCCTTGTAAAATTAGCTTTCTTGTGCCAGAAGGAGAGCATCAACCGCCTTACGGGTGGACCACGAGGGTCAGGGGCGTGCCTGGGGAGGTAGGGTGCGCCCCCTACCTCGTGACCACCCTGGACACCGTTTTGCGTTGATTTGACTTCCAGAAAATCATAGATATTCCAAAAAAAATCTTCGTCCGGTTTTTTCCGTTTGGGCTCCGTTTGATATTGGATTTCTGCGAAACAAAAAACATGCAACAGACATGAACTGGCACTAGGCACTGGATCAATATGTTAGTCCCAAAAATAATATAAAAAGTTGCCAAAAAGTATATGAAAGTAAATAATATTGGCATGGAACAATCAAAAATTATAGATACGACGGAGACGTATCATTGCCTTTTACTCCCGCCGTTCCAAAATAGATGGCCCACCTTTGTACTAACTCTCACGTTCGAAAATAGATGGCCCACCTTTGTACTAACTCTCACGTTCCAAAATAGACGACCTAATTTTGTACTAAGTAGTATAAAATTAGATCATCTATTTTGAAACGGAGGGAGTAGATAACAGGACCGGGGAACTAGCAGTGACCTCTCCCCTCCCCCAAATCATTAACTTAAGCTTAACAACACTCGGCCCGCATTCGATTCCGCCACCAGAGAAAGTATTTATTTGTATTTTCACGCAAAATTGTCTATTTTCTACGTGTAAAAGAATCTAGTGAGCGGCATATTTCGTGCAAATCAGTTAATGAAGAGTCCAACGTCGTTGTTGCCTGCCCCAGGCGCGCCGTGTTGAAAGCTTGAAACGGAAACACGGTACGCCGACCGGACAGTCCAACATTCCAACAAGAACTATTATTATCCACAGCCCCCAAAACGATAGTAAACGCCAGTCCATCCTTTCCTTGGTCCTCCAGAGGAAACGATTTGCCCTCCCTCCATGATTCGCACGGTTGACCGGCCGTGGAGACTGGAGTCCGGCAAGTTGGACGAACCTGATCGACCCGGACCTAAACAGCGACATGAGAGGGCGGGGAGACGTGTCGACGATGAGCCTGATCGATCGGGACCTAAACCCACCCACCCCCTTTTCATACGGAGCTTTCGGCTCGCTTGGCTTCGTATGCACACGTCGCGCCCAGCACGAGCTCTCTTCTCGGCCCCGAATATATATCACCCTCACCCACCACACCAACACTGTCAGTTTCAGGTTCATCCACGCCACCACTGGCACTGATACCCATCCCCAGCAGCTACTTCCAGGATAGTGCTGCTTCCCACTACCAGTAGCCCAGCACGCACGAAGTGAACAAAAAGAAGCACCCGGCGCCAGTCACCACTCGCCACCTATAGAATGTGCTTGGAGTTCAGCTCGTGCTTCGGCGGCCGCAGGCGGGACGACTACGGCGGCCGCGCCCGCAGCAGAGGGGGCGGCTACTGGTCAGCGCCGGTGCCGGCACCGGTGTACCAACAGGAACAGCCGCCCGCCGTCGCCCACGAGGCCTACCACGAAGGCGCGCCGAAAGCCGACCACACCGACGCTGCCGGCAGCCACGCCGCCTACTTGCAAGACAAGGCTGGCAGCGAGACGCCGCCGAGGCACCCCGCATGGCACAACAAGGTCGCCGACGACGCCTACACGCCGCGCCCCCACGAAGCTGCTGCCCCAGATCACAGTCACAGGGACAACGCCCTTATGGATTACTACCACCACCACCACCCTCGTCAGGTACTAGCTACTAGTCGTTAGGATTAGCTAGTTCATCCCATCAATCCCTCCCTCCAGCTTTTGCTGGTAGATGGTTTCACCTTTACCAGTCTGTTTGTGCAGTTTCTTGTAATTTAGCACAAGCTGCTTTCGCCTTGTATCATACATAATCAAGTGAAAGAAAGCATTGCCAAATCTCAGATGTCTCTGTTTTCTCTGTGTGATGTTTTCCCCTTTAACTTTCCTCACAAACACATTGTGAATCACTGAGCAGCAGGAAAGATGTTTTTTGCTTGTTGGCAGATCATCCATTGCTTGGAACAGAGCTCAGCGCAGCCTTGCACTGAATCAGCGTATTTGCTGAACATACCAGCTGCTAAAACCGTATATAGACTAGTAGAGTATTATTTACCAGACAGTTTTCCAAAAAGAAGAACTGTTCACTTATTAGATTTCGTCACTGGTGTGACATAATCAGTAACAAGCATCTTATGTCACGGAACGCGCGAGAAAGTCGCCCTTATGTTTGTATTGGAAGTTGGACAGCAAGGCGAGGTTAAAGCAGATACACCATAGACAAAGCTTCTGCCAGCAAATTAGAGAATAAAGTGACGGATGTAAACTCACTCTGTTTTTCTAGGTAATGAACAACTCGCTCTATCTTGGAAGTTTTCAAAGAAACAAAAAAGAATGTTCTTGAAACAAAAAGGACCCTACCTTGCAGTTCACTCTCTTTTTCAGTTTGCTTTCCACAACTCTATCTTGTTAACAGCCGCAGTTTTAGTTCTCAGAAAAGGGAAGTGCAGATCTGTCCATGAATCATATTTCTGATGGCATTTTCATTTTTGTACGCATATACCTGTGCTGGTCCAGTAGCACACTCAGAAAGTTAATCGACCTTCTTCCAACTTTTTCATTCAGACTCTTGCCCCGTGTATAGCCCTTACCAAAGAGGAACCAAAGCATATCGCATCTTACTAATGCCACCGCATCAGATTAAACAAGGGACACTTTGGTCTGCGCTCTTGAAAGAAAAGAAAAAAAGCAAAAGCGGAAGAATCCGCTCGCAATCTAGTTGTTTCCACTGCTGTTAAAGTGCCAATCATGCCACCTGAAATGCCATTATTGGTTTTTGGTAAAAACACGCATTGGGATGCTGAGTGCAACTCTACATAAGAAGTGAAGACCACTTTGTTGAATCCTAAAATACACACACCAAAGCGTGCAAATTTTTCGCGGTGTGCATGCAACAGAAGCGTATTTAACAACACTAAGGAATGCTTTCCAGCAAGATTAATAACATAACAAAGAATCACAGAGCTGGCAGCAGTTGCGCTCATGGTGTAAAGTAGGTATTTCAGTGCTCTACTGCTTTTACCTCTAGCTCAACAACTAAGATCTTCGATCCGTGTCGATCTCTTCTTCCCATCTTGGAATAAGACCAAGGACGGGGAATAAATACAGTCGGTCAGTATAAGTTTGCGCCTTTTGCCTATGAATTGATAGATACAGATCCACTGGACCACTAGCTACTCTGGGCGGTGGTTCAACCAGGTAGAGAAAGTTCAGTGGCTCTAGATATGCATGTCATTATCTCTTCTCATTTGTGCTTGTTTATAACAGCGGAATAAGTTTGCACTCGGTACTTCCACCAGCCACTCACACGGTCTACGACGTTAACACATGATTTAGGTGGTCCTAGATAAAATAAGGGGTGAGTCCAACCTTTTCTAATTAACTAAATAAGAGCTTGAAAACACTACAGTATTTAAAGTAAGGGGCACCTTCTGTTTTGTGGAATATTACTCCAACCTTTTCCAGTTTGGCACAGGAGATCCCTACTAAAAATTTGATCGGATCACTCCTCGATCTCCCCATGAGATTATCTTATTTACATAGGATTGCCAATCAAGATCTTGGCCGAACAATTCAGAAATGAACCACTTGATACTACATAATCCATAATGAGTGGCATCAAATTCCACTAATTAGAACTTTCGGTGGACAATGACATTCACAGGCTGAGTTCTAATTGATTTTCCGGTGCGTATCCATGTCCATCCTTGCTGGCCGCATGCAATTTGTCCCCGATCCAATTTTGGTTCCCCTCCTTTCTACCAATAATGTACCCTCCGATCCCTTTGGTGTCTTCTTATTTACGAATTTTGCCATACACAATCTAAAGATGAAACAAAGCAACAGATTCCACCAAGCTTGTAGGAGAATAAAGGCAGTGGCATACGGAATGCAGTAGCAAAGGAAATGTGGTTATCCATTTCTTTATCCATATACACCTAATAATGCACTCATATAAGCCCTCGTGCCAAATATAGCACTTTGTTTTCTAGCAAGTGGCTCAGATGTTTGTGACGTCAAATTTGTTGTTTTTCTTGGAGGTTGATGACGAAAATTCTTTCTTGGAGGTTAAAATGAGAAAAGTTTAAAATGGCAAAGTTTGAATGAATTGTCTGAGTTAGTTACAGTGTTTGGTAACATTGGCCATGTCTTAAACTCAGAACTAGTGCCAGTCCAGGTCAATGGCCTTCCATCGAAAGAGCAAGTGTAGACACAGATATTTTCGGTCTTGTATTCTCATTCCGAAAAACATTGCTCATGACTAAAGAACCAGTCTGCCGAACTGATTGATAATTCTAAGAACCAAAATATTCCATAGAGCAATGAACACCCATTAGATCGACCATTACCTTTAGAATGTGTAGCGTCTTTATTAGGATCTTGACTTTGCTTGGCTTGCCATGAAAAATTCCAGCAAAAAATATTCTATCTTCACAGTGAACCTTGTTAATTTGTCTGCCTAGCAACTATTTGGCTGAACGACAATTGCCATGACTAATCTTGAAAATGTGTGTTCCGACAAGTCAGTGGGTATCATGAACAAGGATGGAGCATCAGGAACCGTCAGTCATCTATGGCCGTCCACGACACAATAGTTGACCACTGTCAAACAACATTGTAACGTGGTGTAATGTGATAGGGAATAGTAAGCCGATAGGATTGTTAACCATGGCCAGGTTGTTAGCTAGGGATATTTGCTTGTATCTCCTGTAATCATATTATCTTATCCCTTCTCCTCCAAGATGTAATTTCTCCCAGAGAATCTCAACTATGTATGCGCCATCAGGGAGGTGCTCCCCTACCTATAAACTCGTAGGGCGTCCCCTTATACGAGGTAAGATGTTTTCGCCCATCGCACATGGTAATCAGAGCCTTCCTCTTCCCAAATCATCTAGCTAAAAATCTCCATTAGTGCCCAACCATGTCTTCCTCCGAGTCCTCCCGGATAGGCCTCAATAGCCAAGTCATAGAGAAGCTCACCCGCACCAACTACGTTCTATGGCGCGCCCAAATCACGCTGCAGCTGAGGGGAGAAGGCGTCTTCGGCTTTGCCGATGGCAGCGGACCGAAGCCGGCCAAGTTTCCTTCCGGCAAAGACAAGGATGGGAAGGATTGCTCTGAGCCCAACCCTCCCCACCAAATCTGGGTCTGGCAGGATCAACAAGTTCTCGGGTATCAGCTCAACAACCTCTCCAAAGAGGTGTTCGTGAAGGTGACTGCGATCACCACATCGCACGCGCTCTAGACGACCTTGGCGGTCATGTTATCCTCTCAGTCCTTCAGCTGCGTCAACAGCATCTGCACTGCCCTCCTCCACACGCAGAAGGGGAACCAGTCAGTCGCCACCTCCTTCACCTATATGCGCGGCCTCGCCGAAGAACTCGTCGTGACCAGTAAACCCCTGCAAGACGATGAGATTGTCTCCTACATCATCCACTCCCTCGACATGGAGTACCAGCCACTGGTTTCGGCGCTCGACGCCCGCACCACTCCAGTCTCCCTCGATGAGCACTTCCCGATGATGAGTAACTTTGATCAGGCGTTGCTCTGTATTAGGGAACCGACGGATTCAAAACCTCCGTGAACGCCGCTTCCCGTGTCCATGGCGGGCCTCACCATGGACCTCGACGCAACAAGGGCAAGTCTAGAGACGGCGGGACCAACTCTAGCAGCACCAACCCTCGCGCCAGGCGGCCCTCCGCCACCAACACCAAGGGTCGCCGCGCAGCTCCAAGAGATCGCCTCCCGATGCCCCGCATTGTCAGATCTGTGTCAAGCATGGGCACACCGCCAAGAACTGTTCGTACCGGTACGATGAAGACGAAGACTCCTCCCAGGACGAGGACAAAGTTGCTGCCACGGCTGGCTCCTACGTAGTCGACACCAACTGGTATGTCGATAGCGGCACCACCGAACAGCTCATCGGCAAACTCAAGAAGGTGACCATACAGGAAAAATACCGCGGCAAGGACCAAAACCACACTGCTAGAGGTGCATATATGAGGATCTGTCACATTGATCATTCAATTATTAAAACCCCTTATCGCAAACTTCATCTTTGATTTTTTTTGCATGTTCCTCATGCTAGCATGAATCTACTTTCCGTTCATTGAATTGTCATTGATAATCATGTCTTTTCTTGAGTTTCATCCCTTTTTTTGACCAAGGATCATACAACAAAGATAAATATCTATCACGGTAGATGTGTTCATGGGCTCTACCCAATGATTCCGGAGTGTACAAGATTCAATAAAATAGCTTATTGTGTTGCCAAACTATCGTCAACATGTTGGCACGATCGATTAGGATGTGCTTATTTTTCTTTAGTTGAAAGATTGCTTAGGAAGAATAAGCTCACATTTGTTTGTGAGCGCAATGTTGAAATAATTTGTGATTCATGTGAACGTGCTAAGAGTCATCAATTACCATATCCAGTTTCTACCAAACCATTACAATTAATCTTTTCCGATATTTGGGGTCCTGCCCCTAGTTCAGTTGGTAGACACATATTACGTGAGCTTTGTTGATGACTATAGAAAATACTCATGGACCTATCTTCTTAAGAAAAGATTCGATGTTTTTCAAGTCTTTCAAAAAATTCAAGCTCTAGCTGAGCACAAGTTTGACAGCAAGATTATTGTTCTACCATCTGATTGGGGGGAGAATACGAAAAGTTGAACTTCTTC